AAAAGAACACGTTTTTAAGTTTCTTGCTGGTCTTAACCTAGATCTGGACCAAATAAGGACTCATGCACTTGGAAAAGATCCGTTTCCTTCTTTACGTGATGCCTATGCTTATGTGTGTACCCAGGCCCTTCGACTATCTACTATGCTCATGCCACCTTCTCCAGAAGGATCTGCTTTGGTTTCTACCACAAGTCAATCACCTCGGGTATCATCAGCACATCAACCCGATCGTCCACCAACTGCAACATCTGGTAATGTCGCTAAAACTACTAAATCTGATGACAAAGATTGTTTGGTTTGTGATTATTGTAACCAGACTAGACATGTGACAAAGGTGAAGGCAGTAATGGCAGAAAAGGGAGTCGTTCTAGCTCCAAGGCTCATTATACCTCTTCCAGTAATAAGAACAATGACCAATCTGCTGCTAAGTTCTCTTCTGGTCAGATGGAACAAATGATTGAGGAGTGTGCTCATTTGCTCTCTACTAAAGGGTTCAGTTCTTTAGCCACGTCCTCAGGTAACCTTGGTTATTGTTTTAGTGTATCCGGTAAGTCTTCCTCAGAATCTTGGGTTATAAATATAGGGGCAACTGATCACATGACCTCTACATCTCATTTTTTCTCATGTTATTCCTCACCTACTAAAACTTGTGTTAAAACTGCTGATGGTTCACCAACCCCTGTGGCTGGTGAAGGTTGAGTCACTCTTTCTGATTCTTTGTCCTTTTCCAATGTTCTTCATGTGCCTAGATTGTCCAATAATCTACTGTCTATCAGTCAACTTACTAATACCTTAAATTGTTCTGTCACGTTTTTTGACACTCATTGTATATTTCAGGATCTCCGGACGGGGGCGAGGATTGGTCATGGTATTGAACAAGGTGGCCTTTATCTCTTAGATGTACCAGCTGCTTCAACCTCAGTTCATGCTGTGCAATCCACTACTGGTTCATCCTATAACATTTGGTTATGGCACAAGCGTTTAGGACATTTGTCATCTTATTATTTAAAAAAATTGTTTCCTTCTTTATTTTTTGCTGTTGATGTTTCTTAATTTCAATGTGAAACTTGTGAACTTGCTAAACATCATCGGGTACCTTTTCCATTAAGTATTAATAAAAGTGCATTTCCTTTTGCTCTTGTTCATAGTGATGTTTGGGGCCCTTCTCGTGTGACTAATCTGTTAGATGCTAAATGGTTTGTCACATTCATTGATGACTACTCCCGAGTTACTTGGGTTTATCTGATAAAGGAAAAAAGTGAAGTTTTCTCTATTTTTAAGTCCTTTCATCAAATGATCCATACACAGTACAATTCAAAGACAAAAGTCTTCCGCCCTGATAATGGGGGGTGAGTACATTTATTCGGGTCTTCAATCATATTTTTCTAACCATGGCATTATTCATCAAACTTCTTGCACTGATACCCCTCAACAGAATGGAGTAGCTAAACGGAAAAATCGTCATCTTCTCGAAGTAACCTGTTCTCTGCTTCTATCCATGACAATATCAAAGTCATATTGGGGGGAGACTGTCCTCACAGCAGCCTCTTTGATCAATCGGATGCCTTCCAGAGTTCTTCAATACCAAACTCCACTTCAGGTCTTCACTATTTCTTGCTCGCCATCTACTATTAATCATCTTCCTTCTCGAGTCTTTGGTTGTATAAGCTTTGTCCATGTACACCACAGTGGTAAGCTTAACCCTCATTCCCTCAAATGCATTTTTCTCGGTTATTCTGCTACTTAGAAGGGTTACAAGTGTTATTACCCTCCGTCAAAAAAATTCTTTGTCTCTATGGATGTTACTTTTCACGAGGAACGAGCCTATTTTTCTAGTCTTACTTCTACGACTTCTCTTCAGGGGGAGACCTTGAGTAGTGAAGAAAAGTTTTATATTGTGCCTATGTTTGAAATAGAGAGTGGAAATGAAACAAATGAAAAAAAAATGAAAAAGCAGAAGGTGGTTCTTTGACTCTCCCTCCAAAAGGTCATCATATGTCTCCATTTGAGCTGGTATATCTAAGAAAAGAAAAGGTACCTCTGGAGCAAAATGATCAGTCTGCCCCGACAGCAAGTAATCCTGAGGTAGAGTCTATTGAATCTCCATTCTCTTTTGTTGATAATAGTTCTGTAGATCCTAATGCTTCAGATGATTCTAATGTTGTTAATGACTTAGAATTGCCTATTGCCTTGAGAAAATCACATCGTACTTGTCAGTCAAAATATAAATATCCTATTTCAAGTTTTATGTCTTCTTATCGTCTCTCACCATCCTTTAAGGCTTTTTCCCGTCAATTGTCTTCTGTATCTGTTCCTAAAAAATTACAGGATGCACTTGACAAACCAAGGTGGAAAGAGGCAATGGTTGAAGAATTGAGAGCTCTCCGAAAAAACTCTACGTGGGAGTTAGTGGAGTTACTAAAAGGGAAGAAAACTGATGGCTGCAAATGGGTGTTTACCATAAAGCATAAGGCAGATGGGTCGATTGATCGATATAAGGCAAGATTGGTGGCAAAGGGCTATACTCAGACATATGGCATTGACTATCAGGAGATGTTTGCTCCAGTTGTGAAAATGAATACTATTCGGGTTTTGTTATCTTTAGCAGCTAACCTAGAGTGGACTCTCCATCAGTTTGATGTTAAGAATGCGTTCCTCCATGGCAATCTAGAGGAGGAAGTGTACATGGTTTGGTAGATTAAGAAAATCATAGTGATGAAAGTACCAATAAAGGGAAAGTATGCAGACTAAGAAAATCATTATATCGCCTGAAACAATCTCCTAGAGCATGGTTTGGTAGATTTGCACATGCTATGCAGACGTATGGATATCATCCCAGTCAAGCAGATCATACATTATTCCTTTGACACTCTCGGGGAGGTAGAATTACAGTTGTTATTGTCTATGTGGATGATATCATCATCACTGGGGATGATACCGAGGAGATTAGGAGACTAAAGATACATTTGGCCAAGGAATTTGAAATTAAAGACTTGGGTGTCCTGCGGTATTTTCTAGGTATTGATGTGGCTCATTCAAAGTAGGGAATCTTTGTTTCACAGAGAAAGTATGTACTTGATCTTTTAACTGAGAGAGGAATGTTAGCCTGCAAGCCTGTGGATACTCCTATTGAACAGAATCATAGATTAGGTGAACAGACTGATGATACACCAGTTGACAGAGAGAGTATTAGAGGTTGGTTGGAAAACTAATATATTTGTCCCATTCACGACCTGATATAGCCTATGCAGTGAGTGTTGTCAGTCAGTTTATGCACGAGCCACATGAAGTTCATATGTAGGCAGTAAAGAGGATACTTAAATACTTGAAATCAGCACTTGGTAAGGGTCTTTTGTTTTCAAAAGATGATCACTCTGCAGTAGAGGCCTATACAGATGTTGATTGGGCAAGTTCTATTTCAAAACGAAGATCAACTACGGGATATTGCACATTTGTGGGTGGCAATCTAGTTACTTGGCGGAGTAAGAAGCAATCGGTTGTGGCCAGGTCTAGTGCCGAGGTTGAATTCAAAGCTATGGCCCACAGTGTGTGTGAATTATTATGGTTGAAGATCCTATTGGGAGAATTGAGGATTGCTTGTCAAAGTCCCATGAAGCTATTTTGTGATAACAAGGCGGCCATCAGCATTGCTCATAATCCTGTGCAACATGATCGGACTAAACATGTTGAGATTGACAGGCACTTTATCAAAGAGAAGTTAACTGAAGGTGTGATTTGAACTCCCTATGTGAGGACCGAGGATCAACTTGCTGATATTTTGACCAAGGGAGTCTCTAGCAAAGTGTTCAATTCTGCTCTTGCCAAGCTGAGAATCCGGGACATGTATTTTCCAGCTTGAGGGGGAGTGTTGATGTATATAGATAATTAGCTGTATTGTTGACTATATAACTATTAACATAAATAGATAATTAGCTGTACATCTACTGATTAGGTGTTGATTAGCATAGTTATAGGAGCTGATTTTTAGTCTTTAATTTCTTTCCTTCTTTGTAATTATTTGTGTACTATTTAAACCTCCACAAGGAGAAGAATAAACATGGAGAATTATTCCTATTCCTTTACTTATAGAAATATCTTCAGGAAGGACATGATCAAGGTAGGGAACCACAGAGGTGCACGTATTGTGGTCATACAACTCATACCATCAATAACTGTTGGGATCTTCGTGGCAAACCGTCTGGCAATGCAAATCTACCTTCCTATAAGGAGAATGTTTCCTACATAGCTGGTTAAATAAGAGAGTGTAGACTTAGGTGGTATGTACATATACAATGTAAACCCATAGTTGCACCAATCACAAAAATGTTAGAATGTATATATGTAATTTATATTTCTTCTAGGGACATATTAGTCTTGTCAGTGTAATTCCAATTGAGATATATATAGATATACACAAGTGAGAGAAGAAAAGAAATAATCTGTCACACAAAAATTCCCCGAACAGTGTGTTCATCTCTTTCCTTTGAACCCTAATTTTAACAAAAAAGAAGACTAAAGGTAAGAGACAAAGAACCCGACCGAAACTAGCATGGGATGAAGTAATTAGAAATGATTTAGAAAAATATTAAATTCCTTTTGGAGAAATGGCTTGTAAATTTGTAATAGAAGAGAATGAAAGAAGAGAATTCTTGCAGCCGATCCCATTATATGGGATAAAGGTAAGGATGAGATGTGTTACATAAATTGTGATTTATTATTTATTCATGATAGTATTTTTGTTTAATATATCTTTAGCAACTGTTGTGTACCTTCATCATTTACTCACATTGCATTGGAAAATCTTTTCTCTCAGTTTGCCCACAAAATTCCTGCCTCTTTATTTAGTCCAAATTAGATAGGAATGCAACTTGGAACAATTAAAGTCTTATTTATAGCATCTTCCTTCGTTTACTGTTTATAATTTACTCGTAAATGACTTGATTTCACCAAACCTGACTATTTCACTGCAATTTGGTTTCAAAATATCTGTAAAAATGCAGGAAACTTTGCACATGCACCATAAATCACGTGATAACTCATGTGAAGCTCTTGAGTCTGCTTGTTATGAATCTAATGCAAAAGAAATAAAGCAGGATATTGAAGGAAGAGAACCTATTTCTAAAGAAAGCCTGATCAAGAACTGGCCCTTAATGTCATCTATCATAGTTTATTGTGTTTTCTCACTTCATGATATGGCTTATACAGAGGTAGGTTCCATAGTCAAACTTTGGTTTCTGAAATATGGTTTGATCTGCATATTGTGTTAACAGATATCTTCCATTCTTATATTTTGGTGTACCACTTTAATTGACTAGATCACTATGACCTATGATTTCTACCCCTTTGTGATTTAGCCTTTTGTTGCATGCTCATACTCTAGCAATAGCTCATATGTAACTATAATATGACAAAATAATTTTTCTTGGGAACATACAGACAAGCAATCTGTCCCCACACCATATGTCGAGGAAAAATCTAACACACATCCCACTCCTCAGTCTGAAGCGAATATGTTTTGAAAACTCAGCCCATCCTTTTCGGATGAATTTCCAAATGCCCATACAAGCCAGGCCCCTCGCCTCGAAGCTATGCCAGCCGCATCTAGAATCGCCATATTTGCAAGAAATCACCCTCCTCCACAAGCTGAGTCTCTCAACTCCTTGCTGCCAAAGCCGCTTGCCTAAGAGCACTTTGTTGAAGACATCCAACCTAATCACATAACATGAAACTATAGCCAGTGCAATATATCAGTGCGTGTTGGAAGCCAAAAGATTAAAGAGAGAAACTAAACATGAACAACACAAGAATATAACGTGGTTCAATCACTACGGCCTACATCCACATCATACAAAGCCCAAAGGGCTACATCTCTTTCATTATTTTCTCTCTTAATTTTGTTTACAAAAATCACCTCTATATATAGGTGAAAGAATACATACATGTGATAAAAATGAAAAATATATTGATGGAGGATTCCTAAAATCACTCTCATGAATCCCTCCTATCAATATTATATCAAGGGCTCAAATCACTCCTATAGTAATATTCTCCAACAACGTGTAAGATAATCATAAACAAAACATAAAGATAAACAAATAAATATAAACTACCGTTTTCTCCCCCTTGATTTATGCCTAATCATATAATGTAGATAATCAAACTCATTAAGCAATCAAGGTTAAACAAATAATCAAGCAGGTGTAATTAAGCTACATGTATGCATTCTCCCACTTTTTATCACAAAATTGACAAAATAAAATCGAGCTGCAGATCGAAGATGGAAAACATGTACCTCAAAGAAGAGGAAAAAGGAGATTGCAGAGAATAAATATAGCTTCTTGGTCGGCCGTTCGCTCCTTGTTGTAGAATGAAATGACTTTTCTCCATTCAACAGGCCCCACATTCTGAATTATCTCCTTAATAAGAACCTCACAGGTCCTATATTCATCTTCTTTTGTTTGCATAAATCCTCGCAACTAACCCATTTCATCTTTGTGGATTTGGTCTTTTTAAAGCAAGAAGAACAGAGGGCAGCAGTTGGCCAGCCAATCACAGAAATGACTTAATCTTAGAGTAGGAGAAAAACAGTGTAATAAATTGCACACTACATTACTATAAAGAGATCCATTACTCTTAGTTGATGAAAATAAGAACCCCAACTAAGTCCTATTGATTTATACAAAATTGTTGGAGGATCAGGTCCTAAAAGCATAAAGAAATCTGAAAAAGTACCACCAAATCTTAAACAAATAGATAGATAGAACCACTGTAATAAAATTGTAGAGAGAATCACATCACACATCCCCTTGGCCACCACCACCACTGCCACTAGCTGCATCCTTAGAACCTGTTATCCTGTCTTTAACATTACCAATGTCGTACTGTACATTTTGCATGCGTTGGAGTAGTTCTTATCATTTGCGGCTTGTTGAGCAGCCAATGCATCCATGTGAGCATTGTATTCTGTATTGACATTGAGCAAAAAAATTGTCATTCTTTGCTCAAGTTGACGGATCTTACCATTTGTAACACAGCTAATGTTTTGTACGGTTATGCTTGAGGTTCTGCGGGTGCTTCTTCCTCATCTCCATCACCACCACCAAGTACATCCTCTTCTAAGTTGTAAATCATTTGTTCATGACATAGTTCCAAAGAGAGATTAGAGACAACCTTTTAAATCGATGTTTCACCCAAAATATCATTTCGTTTTGCCATTTCTTCTCGAGGATCAAATTCATCTCTAAAATAGCTCTTGAGGACAGGAAAAACAAGGCAGGGAGGTAAGGCTTTTTTTCCAACCAGTGAGAATCATAAGTAGCAAAAATAAGCATGTGTATTTTCTATGAGCAATGGCTGTACCTCAGTTAGGGTGACAAAGTGAACTGTTGGGCTAGCTACGCAAAAGGTGCGCGTGGTTAGATCATGGAGACTGCATCAGTGGTTGCCATTGAATCTGATGGTGCCACAGAAGAAAGGTATGTTCTGGGTGGTGCAGAGGGATTAAAATTGTCTGGTTGAAGAGTTGGCTTGAAAACTCATACAACGGATTATGGCGCTTGAACTTAATGCACATTCGATGCCTCTAATATAACTTGCCAAGTATGTTGCGTATTGTTTAGGGTGTTCATCAGTGTGCTTGGTCCTGTTAGTTTGAATTCTTGAGAGTTGAAGGATTGACTTCAGGACTCACTTCTTATTCATGATGTACACCACTTCAAATTGTCGCTATCAAGCATAAATACTCCCGTTTTAGAGTCACAAAAATGTTGATGGTGATTGGGGGTTCTTAGACAAGAAGGTAATGCATGTAGGATAGTCGCTTATGAGTTTGAACTTAGTTTGATGGGTTTTGGGGATCTAGAGAGGGAAAGAAGGTTAGCAGTATCATGCCTATGGACTTGCTGGTTTTGCATGAGGGACAAGAGAACATAGAGTTGATGGTTTTGCAACACCCCCATCTCTTCGCATGCAAGTTTTAGTTCCCTTGTACTGTCACTGAATTACCATTATATTTATCTTACCACCTCATTTTAAAATAAGTCTCCATGCTTTTTGTACATTGATATACACTGTCTCAAGTTTTCCCTTTCAGTCCTGAACTTCTCCTTCAATTTTAGGAGAAGATAATTTTTTTAATTAACTTCCTGTGATATATTTTTTTCTTTTCTTTTTGAAATTTCATCTACTTCTGTGCGAAGTGGAAAGAAAAATATTGAATGAATAGAATAGTGAAGATTTTTCTAGTCAACAGACTTTAAAGATGAACATATTTAAAATCTATTGAACAATTAATTAGTGTAGGCATATTGACATGCACATGAACAGTCAATAATAAGTTTTTTTATTTTTATTTTCAATTTTGAAACTTACGCACCCATTTTGCCCTTGGGGTCGACCATCTACTTTGGATGTGAGAAAGTGCCACTAGGCTACAGCCCTTGGTAGCAGTCATTGATTGATGGCATTTATATCCTAATCTAAAACATAACAATGTCACTTAATCTAATATTGGCATCACCAACAAAGTAATTATTTTTCTTTTTTCACTATTTTTTCATTCTAATGCACATGATTGTGTTGCTGTGAATTTCTGGCAAACAATGTTTTTTTTACAGATATTCTCATTATGGGCTGTGAGCCCCAGAAAGTATGGGGGCTTGAGCTATACAACTGAGAATGTTGGTGAAGTTCTTTCAATATCAGGTACAATAATGGATGGTATCCCATCCATAACTTAATAATTATGTTCAAAGAAAACTTCATTCAGCATAAAAATGTCACGGGCTTGAGAATTGATTTCTTCTATTGCATTTATCATTTTATTTCTCTTTTCTCATTTATATTCAAACATGAAGGGAATGAAACTGTATTGAATTTAGCCAGTTCATAATTTCCTAAGCGAAATTCAACACCACTTACTTTAGAAGATAGAGATGGAAATTGCATTTGTATCAGAAAAATGTGGATGCTATTATTAATGATGCCATAGAAATGACCTTCTAACTGTTATGGAAAAACTTTCAGACTTGTCACTAATGTGATTTCTTAATTCGAAATCTCTTAGCAGTCTACAGACACAGTTTTTTTAGGTTATCCCTCTCCATGTTTCTTATTGCCCTCCTAGCATTTAAATCTGAAAAGACACAATGGGGAAGGAAGAAAGATGTAATTTTAGTTTAAGCCCTTACTGGTACTGCTATAACAGTGACATGTAGAACAGACGGTTTGTCCTTTTCCTCTTTAGTGTAATCAAACCTAAGTAAGTTGTTGGTCCTGGATTGCTTGAGGTAGTAGGTCTATTATAGAACAATAAGATCAAGGTCAAAGTTGAACTTTTTGAGTCGCTATCTGTCCTTCTTGAAGGACCCTGCAAAATCGGGGACTCTAGTGAGCTGAGATTTGATACCATCATCACATACCAATTTAGGGAGGGGTGACCTCTGGAAGCTTTGACCCAGGAAGAAATGTAGTGAGCACTGTTGGAACTGGGAAGCCATTAGGGCACAGGGAGAAGGTATTAGTTAAGAAGCTGCTGGTTGAGCTGTGATGGATTGAGAGACAACAGGGAGAAACGGCTGAGATTTTCAACTCTTGAGTCAGAAGATTTATAGAAGAAGAAGGGCCCACCAAGTTAAAAGGACATCAACTGGCAATAGAATCTTTTCTCTTTTGCCAGAGGCACATGTCCTGGAAGAAGAGAAAAGGGATATCAGTTAGTGCACTACCTGATGGAGCAGGAGTTTCCAAGAATTTGTTGCAATGGAGGCAACAATATTGGTGGAAAATTTCTAATTTGTTCTTATTACTATGCGTCACCTCAATTTGTCTAATTATGTTTATGGCTTTCCAATTTTTTTTTTTTTTTCTTTTCCATCATGCTTCCATAAATGTCCATTGATGAGTCCATTATTATGTTAGGTACTTCTATACAACTTTGACATTTTCAAATGTTGATTTCTTTTTCCTAAATATTATTCATGTTATCTTTCAAGGTATGCATTTGTTTCGAAGTGTGTGCGAGACACAAAAGATGAAGTTAATTAACAGAAACGCAAAAAAAAAAAAGAAAAGAAAGACCTTAATCTTTTTGGGTCAAACTAAAATGTATTTGGTACAATAACTTTGTTTTTTTTTTTTGTACATAAATACTGCAACAAGAATAGACAATACAATAGTGTGTAAACTATAAAAATGAAAACTGAAATGTATTAGGTAAAATATCTGTGTTTTTTTTTTTTTTTTTTAAAAAAAAAAAATTCTTTATTGTCCTATCATGTATTGCTTAATATACATCCAAGACCTTGTGTTGCTAACCACTCGTTCAATTTTCAGGTTTTGGCCTTTTAGTCTTTCAACTTTCTCTATTTCCCCTTGTGGAGAAGATTATTGGCCCTATCATGATATCTCGCTTCGCAGGAGTAAGCAATCAAACCTTGTAAAATCCAATGTACTCTCCATGTTTCCAAATTTTATTTTAATATGTTTTTTTTTTTTTTTTTTCCTTTTTCTTTCCTTGTTGCATAAATGACCATTATTTAGGTTGTATCAATACCTCTTTTAACAAGCTACCACTATATAGCCATGCTATCTGGATTCAGCCTCTCATTGGCGTTAAATTGCGCATCTGTGATGAAGAATGTTTTATTCGTAAGTGCAGCTAAAACTTCAAGACTCTACTATCTAAACCACTCTATGGGGTATGTTATATATATTTATATATGTATTGCTAGTATTTTAGCAATTGTAAAGATATAGTCAATGATCTTAATTCTTTTTCATTAAATATATTATTAAAAATTAAATTGCAAGCTCCATTTCTGATGCTTTTGCCAAGATAATTAGCTAAGAAGCATGGACACGGATACGGGACACGGATACGACACGACACGGACACGGCAACACGGCAAATCCAAAAAAATTAGGACACGGACACGGCGAATAGTTATATATATATATATATCAGCATAAATAATTTTAAAAAAAAAACACTGATATGTTTAGGTTAGAATATATATATATATCACTGATATGTTAGTATATATATATATCAGCATCTTTAGGACACGGACACGGCGAATTGTGGCATCTTTAGGTTAGTATATATATATATCAGCATCTTTAGGGTAGTACAAAACAAAAAATAGAACATATCAGCATTAAAAATTAAAAAAAAAAAAAAAAAAAAAAAAAAAAAAAAAATTTAACATATCAGCATTAAAAATTAAAAAAAAAAAAAAAATTCCAGAAAAGTGTGTCCGAGCCGTCTGAGCCGTGTCCGTGGCGTGTCCGAGCCGTGTCCGAAAATTAAAAAAAATAAAAAAATTCCAGACACGTTTTTTGGCGTGTTCGACACGTGTCGGGGCGTGTCCGTGTCCGACACGTGTCGGACACGGATTCTTCGCCCATTTTGGAGTGTCCGTGCTTTTTAGCCCGCAACACCCCCAACACCCCCCCCCCCCCCCCCCCAAAAAAAAAAAAAAAAAAAAAAAAAAAAAACACAAACATTTTCTGGAAAGGAGAATACATTTGTGAACGAAAGACTGCATACAAGTGCTCGTACAGTTGCCATATGAGCTTCCTATCCTACTACTACGGCCATCTAACTTTGATTGAATTTTATAGTCATATCATCAGAAATGGTGATTTTCAGTCTTCTCCTTTTCAAGAATGAATGTTTCTCTTGTAACTTTTAACTGTCACCAGGTGTCCATTGTAACTGGCTTGTTCATTCTGCAAAACAATGCTGTGGTAAGTTTTCTTTTCTTCTTGATTTAATCCGGTTTAATTCCCTTCCCATTCTTTTCTCTTCTGTGTCAAACAACCTTTTCTGACCCGTATTTTGTCTTTTCTTGACCTGAACTGATAAAATGCCAACAGGATCAACATCAAAGAGGTGCTGCTAATGGCATTTCTATGACTTTGCAGTCACTTTTTAAAGCAGTAGGTCCTGCTGGAGGAGGAGTTCTGTGAGTGCTGCTTTATTTTTTTTATTCTTCTTTTTCTTGAGTTTTTGAGAAATTTGTAGCTATGTAAGACTATTTGTAGTGAAATTTCAAAGTGTCAAATGATCTGCAATACATCAATTATAATATATTATGTGCATGAGGAAATATCTAATTTCTTTTAAAACAATTTTACATCGAACTTAGTATATTGTCATAATATGGATATTGATATCACAGTTTTTAGGTGTTTGGAGTATCTGAATTTGAATAAGTACAATACTATCTCAGTTAAACTAGAGGGCACATTAGCCTCATTTATAATGGGTTTGATTTTAGCGTAGAGGGAAGGAAACCATTTAATTGTTTGAGCAGTCTGAGTGGGAGTTTGATTACCTTGAGGTAGTTGTTGTTGTCCCAATGAAGATGTGCCAATTATTATTATTTATTATTAATATTTTTTTAATTAGTAAAATAGTTGTTGTTCATAGTCAATCTTATTTCCGATAGGGGCAGTTGACAATTGAATCAAATTTTTCCCATGAAAAGAAGGCCTGGCTCCAAGTTGTTCAATAATAGTGGCGTTGAGTTTCTCAGCGGTAGAGTGTCACAGCAACAACAAAAAGAATATTGTTGTTGTTATTTTTGTTGTTGTTGTCGTCAAGTCTTGAATAAAATTTAAGAAAGAGTTTAAAGAATCTGAAAACACTCGGGTTGTGAAAATGAGAAGTGTTCAACATCATTCTTAAGGTTATGAACTGTCAGCTCCATGTGCTAAAATGTACACCTATTTTGTTCTCTCCACAAACACCACACAAGACATATACCCGGCCGCCAAGCTGTGTGAACTGTTTGGTAACACAATCTCTGACCCTATAGCCAAGAAACTCCTTCACTTAATGACCGAGACGCACCAAAAAGACAGGACACACACCACGTATCCCTATTCACTATTTAGCACGTTATTGGAAGGAGATGATCTATATCTTCTTTAGCCTTCTGACACTTGTGAATCATTTTCTCTGGTCGTCCTTAATTATTCATAGGCAATATTGCCTCCTGTTAGAATGTTATATATATATATATATATATATATATAAGTGTTGGGCCATTATGTAATTACAGAAAGTTGATAGGGGCCCTTGTGTAGTTAAGTAAGACTTGTACTCTTTATATAAGCCTTGTACACTTTATTAGGTTTTTTCAAGTATAATGAATATAGACAAGTCTGAAACTTCTCTCTCCCTCTCATATATATAACTGTGAACATGGTATCAGAGCGTACGATCATGGGTGTGAGAATCTGTAATTGGGTTCTTCTTGTCTAAGATTCGAATTGCAGTTGTGGTGTTGGTGATCTCTACCATCGGTTCATCGGTTCCTTGTTTGTCGTCATCAGCAGCGGCTTGTTCATCGTCGTCAGATCTGCGTCGTCGTCAGATCTGGGAGTTGCTCTTCGTCGTCTCTACCGTGTTCGTCATCGCCGGCAGCTTCTCTTTGGTTGCCAGCGAGCTCATCGACCTCTGCAATCTTGATTCGCAGAGGTGAGGTTCATCTCTGTTGGCCGGAAGTTGCAGCGATCGCTGCTTATTGGTTCGGCCATTACTTGTGATTGGGTCGCCGTCGTTGCCGCCGTGTTATTCCCCGGTGTCCGTGAAGGTGTGAAAAGAAGACCTCTGTTTGGCTACACGGTTATGGCTACTTCAACCCTGGTTTGCTAAACCTGGATAGCCCAAGTCAGTCCAACCCGTTTGACCAGGTCCGTTGACCAGATCCGACCCGGTTCCAGATCTCACCCGGTTCCCCAGGTTCGGTTAGAATACAGAATCTGTTTTTTTTTCTCTCCCGCATTTTTTCTTCTTTGTTTTGCTGGATTCAACATGGCATCTAGTTCAGATTTACTGTCACCCACGAACAGTCTTCATTCTCCCATGACTTTAGTTAAACCGAATGGGAAGAATTACATATTGTGGGCTAAATCTGTTGCTATTTTCCTCAAAGGCAGAGGTCTTGGTTCTCATTTGACTAAAGAGAAACCCAAGGCAGCTGATGCCTCCTTTGATGCATGGGAAAAGGAAGATGCTCAGATCATCTCTATGATGATAAACAGTATTGAACCCCAAATTAGTTCAACTCTACTTTATTTGGATACTGTCAAGGAGATATGGGACAGATTGCAGCAATTGTATTCTGGGACAGGTAATATCACTCGTGTTTATGAGCTCTGTAAGCAGTACTTCAATCTTAAACAAGGTACTCAAAGTATAGAAGAGTATTATTCTAAAGTTATGGGAGTCTGTGAAGAGCTGAATATGTATCAGCCCATTACAAGTGATGTTCGCAGTATGCAACAACAGCGTGCGGACTTTAATGTTGTCCGTTTTCTTACTGATTTATCATCAGCATATGACCCTTTTTCGTGCACAGATTATGAGCAGTCCAACACTTTCATCTCTTGCTGAGGTGTTTTCTAGACTTCAGCGTGCTACACTTGCAAGTGATACCTCAAATTTGAATACTGGACAGAGTGGTGAGCGTTCAGCATTAGTGGTCTCAAAGGGTGAACATAATACTTACCGTGGAGGTCGTGGGGGACGCTCCACCCGTGGCGGTCGTGATTCACGTGGAGGATGTGGCCTTGGCAAGGAATTCAGAAAGTGTACCCATTGTGGTCTTTCTAATCATACTGTGAACTTTTGTTGGGATCTTCATGGGAAACCATCTAATTATGCCAATCAAGTTTCCTCTTCTCCGAATGATGTTGCTTTTGGATCACACAACGTAGTTTGAATCAGATACAGTTCCTGTTCCACGGGATGAGTATACCCAGTTTTTGTCTTATAAGCAAGAATCTAATTCATCTTCCACGGCTACTTTTGCCCAGTCAGGTACTGCACACATATGTCTATTGTCTTCCACTCGCAGTCCTTGGATCATAGACACTGGAGCATCTGATCATATGACCGGATGTTTTTCTCTTCTATCTGATTTTCATTCTGTACATCCTTCTCAAAGTGTTACTCTTGCTAATGGTTCATCCATTTAAGTTTGAGGTTTGGGGACAACTCCACTTAGTGATTCATTATCTCTCTCGTCTATTTTACATGTTCCGCAATTTCCCTTTAATTTAATGTCTATCAGTAAGCTTACTAAGTCTCTCCAGTGCTCTGTTACATTTGATCCTACTTCTTGCTCGTTTCAGGATCTCAAGACGAAGAAGACGATTGGTACGGGGCATGAAGCTGGTGGCTTATATTATTTTGATTTCGAATCTTCTCCTGTGGCTTTCAGTCTTCTTTGTCTCCATTCCAGTGGCACTGTCGCCTTGGTCACCCGTCACTTCAAGTTTTGAAGCGTCAAGTTCCTAGTCTTAGTCATTTGAAATTCTTGTCATGTGAAGTTTGTCAACTTAGTAAGCACCATCATGTGTCTTTCAAGTCTAGGGTTAATAATCGTGTCTCTAGTCCTTTTCATTTGGTTCATTCAGATATATGGGGTCCAATAAAACATTCTTCAATCGATAAATTTCATTATTTTGTGACATTTGTGGATGATTATTCTCGCCTGACTTGGTTGTTTTTAATGAAATATCGTTCTGAGTTATTTTTAATTTTTCAAAAATTTCGCAAAGAAATCAAAACTCAGTTTGGATGTCCAATTCGTATTCTACGTTCTGATAATGCTAAGGAATATTCTTCAACTCCATTTGATACATATCTTAGTGATAAAGGAATTATTCATCAAAATTCATGTGTTTATACTCCACAACAAAATGGCGTTGCAGAACGTAAGAATTGACAACTCTTAGAAGTAACTCGTGCTCTTTTGTTTCATATGCATATGCCTAAACGGTTTTGGGGTGATGCTGTTCTTACTGCCTGTCATCTTTTTAACCGTATGCCGTCATCTGTATTAGATGGCAAATCTCCACATTCTATTTTATTTCTTGATTCTCCCTTGTTTTCTCTTCCTCTTAGGGTTTTGGATGTGTATGTTATGTCCACAATCTTGGTCCTGGTTTTGATAAATTAGACCCACGTGCCACAAAGTGTGTATTTCTTGGCTACTCTCGCTCTCATAAAGGTTATCGCTGCTATAGTCCTGTTTCTCAACGGTACTTTATTAGCGCAGATGTAACGTTTTCTGAGTCCATCCCATATTTTCAGATACTAATTCACTTCTTGATATCACTCTTGAGTCGCCTCCTTCTACCGTTCCTCTTCCGTCACTCTCTCTTCAACCTCGATCTCTTGTTCCTTCATCTGCCCCGTTACAGGTGTACACTCGAAGACCAAAGCCATCGGTTGTCGTGCCTCCTCCATTGTCTTCAGAGTCCTTGGATCTGGCGCCTTCCACTGTGTCTAATTCCTTGCCTATTGCACTTCGTAAAGCTCCTTGCTCATGTGTTACTAACCATCCCATTGCTCATTATGTCTCTTATAATTCTTTATCGCCATTATTCTCCTGTTTTTCCTCTCAGTTGTCTACTACATTCGTTCTTAAGACTGTGCAGGATGCGTTATTTGATTTGGGCTGGAGGAAAGCAATGCAAGATGAAATGGATGCTTTGCATAAGAATGGCACGTGGGATCTTGTTCCATTACCACCAGATGTCAAACCTATTGCTTGTCGCTGGGTATAAACTATGAAGTATCTTCCAGATAGGTCTGTTGAGCGTTTAAAAGCCCGTCTTGTTGCCAAAGGTTATACCCAAACTTATGGTATTGACTATGACGAGACATTTTCTCCCGTTGCTAAGATTTCTTCTATTCGTGTTTTGATTTCTCTTACTGCTAATAAACATTGGCTTCTGTTTCAGTTAGACGTTAAAAATGCCTTTTTGCATGGTGACTTAGCAGAAGAGGTTTATATGGAGCAGCCACCTGGGTTTATTGCTCAGGGGGAGTATCTTCACACTGTTTGTCGCCTTAAAAAGGCTCTGTATGGATTGAAACAATCTCCACGGGCTTGGTTTGGAAATTTCTCTGAGGTGGCGTTAAAATTTGGTCTTAAGAGATGTCAGA